TAATCAAGTTCTCCTCCGCCTTCCAAGGCACCTAAAACCCGGGCTTGGACGCCTGGGTGGCTCAGTTGTTAAGCATCTACCTTCGGCTCGGGTCGTGATCCCAGAGTCCTGGGATCGAGCCCCGCATCGGGCTCGCTGCTCGGTGGGAAGCCTGCTTCTCCCTCTCCCACTCCCCCGGCTTGTGTTCCCTCTCTCGCTGTGTCCCTCTCTGTCAAATAAATAAATAAAATTTTTAAAAACAAAGCAAAACGCAGGGTCATTGCCATGAGTAATGAGGTCAGCACAGGCTAGTGCCCTTTTCCCTCTGCTACCTTCTGCCAGCCTTCTCCTTTGCTCTGACCCTCCACTCACACCAGCCTTTTCCCAGTCTCCTGAGCTCAGCAGACTCCTTACTTCTTCAGGGCCTTTATGTGAGTATGGAAGGTTCATTTCCTGAATCCTCACCTGGCTGAAACCCCATGTCCTTCAGATCTCAGTTCTAATGTCATTGTCCCAAAGGGAGCGTCTCTGACACCTGGTCTCGGTTAAGTCCGCAGCCCCTCATTATTCTCTCATGAGGTCCCGTTCTTCTTCTTTCTCTGCCTTATCGTGATCTTGAATCAGGTATTTCCTGCGTGAATCCTTCTTTATCCCCTCTCTGCTATAAGCTCTGTGAGAGCAGAGCCCATGTGTGCTTTTATTACCTCTGTGTACCAGACGCCTCGTGCCTGGCACAGATAGGCACACTAATCTTTGTTGAACGAGACCTTGGGCAAATCAAAGAATTAGATAAGCATCTCTCCTCCGTTCAGAAACCTTCTCTGGCTCCCACTCCATCGTCCAGAGAAGCCCAAGTTTGCTTGATCTTAATTCATGTCATTATACTTCACAAATCCACACTCCAGTAGCTTAAAACTCCTGACTGTTCTTTCCACAGGTTTCTGCCTTGAGGGCTTTATTTTACCACTACTTACAGTATTTCACAGGTGAATTAATGACTGTCCCTAAATCATACCCAGTCTTCAGCGGTATCAAATGTCGTATCTGCCATGAAACCTTTCAGACACCCCCAGCTGGAATGAATTTTTCCTTCTTCTGGGCTTCCATAGCACTTTCTCTGTGGCTGTTAAAGAAATTTGTCACATTCTGCCTCTCCTTTCTCGAGTTTCTTTCTGTGTGTCTGATTTTCTACTACACTGTGAGTTTCTCAAGGGCAAGTTCCATGTTCTAATCACCTCTGTGTCTGCCACCATGATGCTTCAGCTGTAGCACGTGTTCAGTGTAAGCAAAGACCAAAAAATTACTATGGATTATCGATTCGAGGTGATGATGATTTTTCTAAGGTAGTTTTTCTAAGGTAGATTTTTCTGTAGGTAGTTCCCTGTAGAAACACGTGGGGGTGCCCTAACCCAGCAAAACTATGTGGGCTGCTCTAGGTGGATTCATTTCTAAATTATTTTAAAGATGATGGGGCTTCTTTTGAATTTTGTCTCACTGGTCGTATTGATCAGCTGTAGATGACAGGAATGAAAGGTGAAGGACAGTTTAGTAGGCAAAGTAAGAGTTAGTAAATCAAATCCAAAGACCACATGTGGTCAGAGAGACAAGGCAAGGTGCACCTGCTTTCTCTGAACGAAGGGTCCTATGATCACAGACTCTGGATATAACGTTGGTGTCGTGGTCCTCCAAATGAAGGGTTTGGGGTTGTGCTATGAACTGAATTGTGTCCCCTCAAAATTGGTATGTTGAAGCCGCAATCCCCCAGCGTGGTGGTATTTGGAGAGAGGACTTTGGGAGATACTAGGTTTAGATGAGGTCGTGGGGGTGGGGCCCAAGGTGGAATTAGTGTCCTGACAAGAAGAAGAGAGACCAGAACTTGGTCTGTGCTGAGTGCAGTACAGTGGGAAGGTGGCCATCAGTAAATCAGGGAGAGGGCCCTCCTCACCAAGAACACAGCCCTGCTGCCTCCTTGATCTCCAACTTCCAGTTTCCAGATCACATGAAATAAATCTCTGCGGTTGAAGCCACCCAGACTGAGGTGTGTGGTTATGGCAATCCAAGCAGATTACCACAGGCCATGTGCAGAAAGGGGCTGCCTTCCATACTCTTTGTTTTTCTCCTGAGAGATTGACATTTAGATAAGAAAATGCTGAAACATTTGTCAGAGACAGACAAGGGGCTTTCAATCCCTTATGAGCCTCTGATTTTTTTTTTTATTTTGTTTTCTTATTGCATATGTCGTCCTTTGAAGCTCCTCTTACATGTAATAAAGAAGCACCACTGTTCTCTTCTTTTATAACAGTATGTTGGTGGCAGAGCTCTTTTGTTAGTTTGGACCAGAATTTTACTTCCATTTTTGAATGTAATCTTTTCCTTTTTTAAAAAAAAAGTAGGCTCCATATCCAGCATGGAACTCAATGCGAGGCTCAAACTCACGACCAAGATCAAGATGAGCTCAATAGTCGGACACCTAACCAACTGAGTCACCCAGGCACTCCTCTTTTCCATTCTTAATGTCAGGACATTATGTTGGAAATGAATGGTGTGAACTTGTCACCTGGGCTAAACTGACTTTCCACACCCCGCCCCCCCCCACTGTTGGTCTAAATGTACAAAGCATTAGTTATGCAGTTGACCCTTGAACAATGTGAATTTGAATTGTGTGGGTCCACTTAAGTGTAGATTTTTTACAGCACAGTATTGAAATGTACATTCTCTTCCTTATGATTTTCTCAAGATCATTTTCTTTTCTCTAGAATACATATAGCATACAAAGTAGGTTCATCAATCATTTATGCTATTGGTAGTGAAGTTTTTGGGGGAGTCAAAAGTTATACGTGGATTTTCGACTGCATAGTGGGTCAGTGCCCCTAACACTCATATCGTTGGGAGGGTCGACTGTAATTAATCCAAGGATGGCAGCACAACCTGGGGCACTTTGTCACGCCTGGGTTTACAGGTGTCAAACCATTGTTTTCCTGATTTCTCATCACTATCCTCTGCTGTAAGACCTTTACATTTTTGCCTTCACATGTTTATTTATTTGGATAAACTCAATTTGAATAAGCTGACTACATTGGCAGAATTCAGAGGTATGTGTGAACAAAAGTATCGGGTGCAGTTTAAGTGGTTTACAAGCTGAAACAGAAACCCCTCCTTCCCTGTCCTTCATCTCCCCCGCCCCCAGGTGCTTCATGCTATTGTGTGTGTTTTCATCATGTGTGGGGGTGTCTGTGTGGAATCGTATGTGTATATAAATTAAAGACAGGGCTGAGTTTCACATCTGGGTCAACGTGATGTAGCCATGAAAACATGTGTCTTCTCCCTCACCTCCTACTTGGAAATGGCAGGAATCTCGGGGAAGGCTTTGAACTTTCACAATCCACGGAATTTACGAGGCAGAACCAAACCAATTATAACTACATCTTGAGAAGTAGAGAAGTCCCAGTTTCTGTCTAAGGTACACATATTTTCTAAATGTGTATATTCTATAACATAAAACATACACTTGGAATAATACAGTGTGATGTTTCACCACTTACTTCTTTCTTTAATAATTTATACATACCTCCATGACACAGTATTCTCCTACAAATGGCTTAAATAACATCATGCGACTTTATCCTACAGCTTTACCATGATTTATTTAACTAATCTACCTTGACCTACATTTAAATTGTTCCTAATTTTTTTAGAGATTTTATTTTTAAGTAATCTCTATACCCAACATGGGGCTTGAACTCATGACCCCGAGATTGAGAGTCGCACAGTCTACCGTCTGAGCCAGCCAGGGCTCCCTGTTCCTAATTTTTAATATTAGTAACACCACAGTGAACAACCTTTTGCATGTTCTCTGTGCACATCTCTGCTATTTCTCTAGGTTGAATTCCTAGAAGCATACTCGATGGATCAAATGATATTAACTCATTTGAAGGCCTCTGGTATTTGTTGCCAAATTGTCCTCCAGAAACATTGTTCCTCTTCTCTCTGATGTTGTTGTTGTTGTTGTTTTAAGATTTATTTATTGGGGCTCCTGGGTAGCTCAGTTGGTTAAGTGTCTGCCTTCTGCTCAGGTCATGATCTCAGGGTCCTGGGACAGAGCCCCAAATGGGGCTCCTTGCTCAGTGGGGAGCCTGCTTCTCCCTCTCCTCTGCCCCTCCTCCCTCACTCATATGCTCTCTCTCTCAAATAAATAAATAAATAAATAGTAAATAAATAAATAGAATCAAAGCCAACTGTGCCACCCAGGCACGCCCTTCTCAGGTGTTTTTAAAGGAAAGAATGTGACCTTGGGTTAGGCTTAGAAATCACCTACTGATGTAGTTGAATTGGCTCCACAAAGATTAAAATACCCACTGGATGCCTTTACACTGACATGTACATACAGCTTTGTAGAATGAGTAGTTTTCCAGGTATTTCAAAGACTTCCTCTGCATCTGTAACAACTAAGAAAATTGTGGCTTCGTGGGCACACACGATGGGATGGGCAGACGGTGAACAGGGAAGTCAAGAATCACTACAACTTTGCTGCATTGTTTAACCATTCCAGAGAATTCACAGACTGATTAGCAAAAACTCCAGAGAGAGACCCCAATGTTGTAACGTTGAGGTTAGATTATCACTGATTTAAGAAAAAGTGTTTTGAGGGGTGCCTGGGTGGCTCAGTTGGTTAAGAGTCCAAGTCTCGATTTTGGCTCAGGTCATGATCGCAGGGTCATGGGATTGGGCGTGGAGCCAGCTTCAGATTCTTTCTCTCCTCCATCTGCCCCTCCCCCTGCTTGCGCTGTCTCTCTCACTCTCGAAAAAGAAAAAAGAGGAAAAAAGAAACAGAGTTTTGAAAAATGCCTACTTCAGTAACTGGCAGTCTCAGTAACCTGTGCCCCTATGGAAACACAAGAGATATGGTCTTCTTGCCCAAGGGACAAAAGTAGCACAGCATCATCTCCCCTCTCCCCAGCTTATGGGAAAAGGGTCTCTTCTTTTTTGCACTGTCTTTTATGTAGGAAGAAACTGCCTCTGACCTCCGTCCGTCAGATATGCCCTCTTGATTTTTGTGGTTGGTGCAGAATATTGCTTATATCCATCTTTTGCATTCTGTCTCTGCCTCTCTGCTATGACACCAGCCGTCACCACTTCCATGACGCCATTTTCAGTGGTTTCCGCCATGCTCAGCGTCACATAAAGGGACATGAACTGGGCCTGGAATCAAGACATTCAGGTTCTAGGAACCTAACCTCTGTCAACTTGTCTACTCATCTGTCAAATGGGAGAGGTGAGTTAATTGAGGTTTTTTGAGAAAAACCAGAACTGGCTAGTAGTTAAAGCAGTAAGAACACAGTTTATTCGGGGGGGCGCCTGGGTGGCTCAGTTGGTTAAACCGCTGCCTTCAGCTCAGGTCATGATCCCAGGGTCCTGGGATCGAGTCCCACATTGGGCTCCCTGCTCATGCAGGAAACCTGCTTCTCCCTCTGCCTGCCGCTCCCCCTGCTTGTGCTCTCTCCCTCTCCCTCTCTCTCTCTCTCTCTCTCTCGCTCTCTCTGTGTGTCAAATAAATAAATAAAATCTTTAAAAAAAAAAAAGAACACAGTTTATTCGGGACTGTTGCGATAGGGGAAGAGAGACCTTACTATAGAGCCAGGCTCAGTCTGAATACAGTGTGGGCAAGTGGGGGTTTATAGCCAAGGAGCAGGGGGAGGGTCAGTGGGTGAAAAATTACCTAGGAAGAAACATCAGGGGTGGTGAACTGATCTAACAGGATTCTTGCTGAAGGCAGGCCCGGGGTGATCAAATGTCGTGTGGGGCATGCTGGAGGATGAAGGACCTGATCTGATACTGAGGGGAAATAGGGATGAAGGATGGGGATTCTAGCTAAACCAAATTGGCAGCATTCTTGCTAAAACTGGACCATGCAGAGACAAACATGGGAGCCCAGAAGTTGAAGCTAGGTGGGAAATTTAGGTCGCAGAGAGAATCTTTGTCAGGATGTTTCCACATTGTGTTATGAGAAGCCCTGGGGGTTCTGAGGAGGGACCCTAGGAGTACAGATTGCCAGGGGGGCGGTGTTCAGAGGCCGCAATCTCACCGTCAGCCTAACAGTTCCACTCTTATTTGTCTGATATATTGGTTTCAACCCCAAATTTGTTGGTTTGTTTTAAAGCACCAGAACCCTGTCTTCAACCTTTGAAGACCATTTAAACCAGAAGATGTGTGAAGACACATCTAGACACACCATTTTAGGATTTCGAGTCAGCCTCCAGCAAGCTAAGGGCTTGATTTTCTTCCTGACAGATGTCCCAGGGAACTCTGCATGAGGGAGAGAGGCTTTTTATGAATTACAGAAACTTGCTATGCTCAGTCTGCCTTTGGTGAGAAGCATTCCTTTCAAGGACAGACCCTTCCTTTAGGTGTATTTCTGCAGCCAACGCTGAAATTTGGAATTTGAGCGCGTCTCTCCCACTTGATAAGTATTCATCCCCACTCCTGACTTTGCATTTTAGGGCATTCATCCTCTGTGGGAGGCCCTGATTATTCATCCATTTCCACAACACATGCCGTAGTATGATTAGTGTCTTTCTGCACAAGAGAAAACTGGGGCACACAAAGGATAAGCAACTGTCCTCAAATAGCTCACACTGTGTATCCGAGGGAGTGAATAAGGACCAGAACTTCCTAAAAACAGTTCCGTTCTTGCTAAATGCTACCCTGCTGTGAGGAGACTCATTTCTCTTTTCTGATCTCTTCATGGCACCAGGAGCGCTTTTCTCTTTTTATCTTTTTCTGGGAAACCAGCCAGCACTCATCTGCAGCAGTGCCCAACGAGGCAGCCTCTGGGCTTGGAAAGGTGGAGCCATGGTCAAAAGACACATCTTTTCGGGAGGGGGGAGGGTGAGGGAGCCGGTCAGGGAGGGCCGCCCTTATTGATGTCCTCCCCGCAGCCTATAGTTTTTCATTCAAAAGGGACCTCACAGAATAACCCAGTGACAACCAAGCAGTCACCTGAGTCTCAGATAAACATTTAAGATTTATTTGTTTATTTTAGGGAGAGAGAGAGCAAGAGCGAGCAGGGGGAGGGTCTGATGGGGAGGGAGAGGGAGAGAATCTCAAGCAGACTGTGCACTAAGTGCAGAGCCTGATGCGGGGCTTGATCTCATGACCCTGAGATCATGACCTGAACTGAAACCAAGAGTCGAAAGCTTAACTGACTGAGCCACCCTGGCGCCTCAGAGAGCACTTAAACTCATGGTCCTAGTTCATGACTTAAAGCCCAGGCTCACTTCATCTACAAGAACTGTGATTTTTTTTTTTTTGAAAGGGGAAGGATTTTAGAGTTCCAAAAGTCTAACATTGAGTGCTAGGGGGCAAAGCCCAAAGCACAACAAAGAGTATACCACAAGGCAGAGCTCCTCAAGCCCCGCCATTTGGTGGCACTCACAGAAGGTGGTAATACTGTATTTGTGGAGTAAACCTGCAATATACCACCGCCACCAACCCAGGGTGACTGTCCACCTCAGGCCCCACCCGGCCACCTAAGGGGTGAAGAGATAGATGTCTTACCCCACTCACCCTGGTTGCTGCCCAACACCAGGCAGCTCTGCCAAATGAACGAGCTGGGAGGGATCCCAGTGATGCCAGAGCGCTGTTTCCCATAAAAAAGAGACAAAAATAATGTCTAGACTGCGGAGAATAGAGGGAGACGCTGGTGCGCATACCCTGAACAGGGCTTTCCCTGGTGGAGTCTGGAGTGGATTGGAAGTGCTTTTTTTTTTAAAAAAAAAATTCAAGATAATATCATGATGAAATACCACGGCACACCCACTGGGATGGCTACTATCAAAAATCCAGAAAATAACAAGCGCTGGAGAGGACCGGATGTATTGGAAACCCTGTGCCCTGTCCGAGGGACTGTAAACATAGGAGCGGCACATACAGAAAACAACATGGCAGCTCTTCAACAGATCACACACAGAATGACCAGGTCATCCAGCAGGTGCACTTCTGGGTGTGCATCCAAAAGAATCGCAAGCAGGGACCTGAAGAGGTATTTGTGCACCCCTGTCCACAGCAGCATGATGTACACCCGCTGAAAGGTAATAAACCAAGTGTTCGTCGACAGATGAATCGGTAAACGAAACACGGTCTATGCATACAGTGGAATATTGTTCAGCCTTAAAAAGGAAGCAAACTCTTGACACCTGCTACAACATGGGTGAATTTTGAGGACACTATGCTCAGTGGAATAAGCCAGTCACAAGAAGACAAATACCACATGATTCCACTTATATGAGGTCATCAATAGTAGATACATTTATAAATACAGAAAGCAGAATGGCAGGTGCCTGGGGGTGGGGGTGGTGGGGGTGGGGAGGGAAGAATGGAGAATTATTGTTTCATGGCAACAGACTTTCATTTTTGCAAGATGAAAACAGTTCTGGCGATGGATGGTGGTGATGGTTTCACAACCCTGTGAACGTACTTCATGCCACCGAGCTGTCCATTTAAAAAATGGTCAAGATAGCATTTTTTTATGCTATGTGTATTTCATGACAATTTAAAAAACTCAGCACGTAGGATAAAACAAAATTTAAGGTAGGTTTGGAAGGTTCTCAGGCAGAAATGACTTCTGCCTTGGTTTTCTAGAAAAGCCCACGGAGGCAGCAAGCCTTGGGGAGAAGTCACCTCTGCTGGAGCAAGTGACATCATTGTAAGGCCTGCAGGAGAGAAGGAGGTCCCCTCTTTCCCCCTCCCATCGCTCTCGGCCAAGGACCTCCCCTCTTGGAGAGCCGCAGGGGAAGGAAAAGCCCATCCGATTGACTCAGAATGGGAAGTCAATGAATGGACATGGGTTGCCTGGAAGTGACTCAATTAATGTCTGCTACTGAGACAGAAATGATGTTACAGGAAAGTAGAGCAAACACACGCCTGCACATTGAAGGTTGTGGCCATATGGCTCACACTCCAGAAGAAAACAGCAGAACACAGGCCAGAACAAAATAGGACGGCTGCTGGGTCGCCTCCGGGCACTTGGCCATCCGGCCGGAGCTGCCATGGTGCTGTCACTTCCCCTTTCTCACGTGGTCTGTCCCAGACTCACTTCCTCAGCGGAGGGGACCGGTAGAAAGCAGCCCGAAGCAGCGATCCCCACATGTAAAGAACCCTTTTCCATTTTGGGGGGTTCAAGCGTTGCAGACATGTCTGCGATTGGTCCTGATAGGAGGTTTTAGATTTTGGGAACTAGACTGTGTGTGTGTGTGTGTGTGTGTGTGTGTGTGTTTGGACGTACTGTTCTCTTTTTATATTCCTTCTGAAACACACTCTCCTTTTCCCTGTTGTAGCCAGTATGCGCCAAACATCCCCAACTGGTGAGGTCTCCCACATATGTTCATACCTCCCCTGTGATATGGCTGCATTTTTGTCTTGCTTTCCTAGAACAGCTTCCTTTCTAGGGGCTCCTCCTGAGCTTTCCAAGGATCCCAGGTTGTTCCAGAAATGCATGCTGGCTGTTGCTCACCCTGCCCCTGGGCCTTGGCCAGGACTCTGAGGTAAGTCATGGCCACTGCCCCTCGCGTCTCCCTCCCCTTTCTGTGGGAGTACCTCCCGTCAGAGGTACTGGAACTTCTGGAGGTACAGAAACTCCGTTTCTGGAACTTCTACCCAAAGTGGGCACAGACCCTTCCCTTGCTCCCCTCTCCCAGTGTGACAGCTCAGGTCAGGTTGTGAATTCGGCAAGACTTTCTTTTTAGGGGAGTATAACACAGAGAATGACACCAGAACAAGGAACAATGCACAGAACGCGACAACAGCAACAGAACCCCCCACGTTCGAATCAAAAGAATAAGCAAGAATTCCTGCAAAGTGTCCTCTAAACCCAGGCAGAAAAAAGGAGTATATCTCTCAAAAAAAAAGTGCCACGTCTTCAGGGTCTTGAAGGCGTCCCCTGAAGTGTACACATATTTCTCAAAAAAAAAAAAATCACTTTCTTGAGGCATGATTGACATACAAAAAGCTCTATTTGTACATACAGATGTAAACCTTTCCAACGTTGGGAACTTGCTGAGCTTGGAGCTAAGTGTACATCCATGACACCATCACCATAGTCAATGCATGAACATGTCTCCAAAAGTTCTCTCTCTGTCTCTCTCTCTCTCTCTCTTTTTTTTTTTTTGATG